CTCTGCCTGTGTATATGCAGCCTGAGCAGTGCTAAGAGAGGAGTAGCAGCCAAAACAGGCGCCTGGCACACCAATAACATGAATGTGAATGTTATGCCTAGCAAAAAAAGCATTAAAAAAGATAGATTAATGAGTGAGATACGATGCACCACCCTTGAAAGACGCCTGTCTTGTGTCCAACTGTAATTACATACCAGCACTGGGACACAGATGTACTTATGTGGAAGGTAGGTGACACTGCTTGGGTGGTGGCAGCCATAACATGAGGGACAGGAGTGATTGGAGCCACCACTGTGGCAGCAGTGACATTAGTGATGGGAGCTACATTGTTGACGAGAGAAGTGGTGGTACCTAAGGAGTTGGAAGTGGCAGTACCCAAGGAGTCAGAGTGGTTACTCTCAGTATCGCTATTGTCAGTTACATGGTTGGCTGCAGCAGCTGCTAATGAAAAAAATTTAATGTTAGACTGACGAAGATCACATAACAACAACTTACTGTTATTGTTCAGTCTCCCTTCCACACAATGAGAACATGCAGGGCAGTAACCAGCCCAAATGTCATCCACAGCATGTGTGACTTTGGCAATTTGGTGGTCAGCCTGAGTGATGGCTTAAAACATGGAATCAGCATAGTAACAAGTAAAAGTCTAACAACTTACCATGTTGGCTGCATACCAACTCCAAAGCACTAGCAAGCTCAGACAAACTGAAAGTTTCGTCCTTTGCTAAGGTGGGAAAAACTTTCATTTTGATCAAACAGTGGCAGTGACAGTGGTTAGGGCAGTGATGCAGAGTGGAAAAACAAGCTGGGTGGGTAAAAAAAACCTGAGTCCAGCCTGGCTATTATAAGCATTCGGAAACTCCAGCTATCTCACACTCTCATTGGTCAATCTGAAGAAAATTTCAGATTCCATTGCTGAATGCAGTATTGATATACTGCTTCAAGCATACTAACACCGAGTCTGATCAGAAAAACACAAGGTATGTGTCACCACATCCAGATTATGACATTCATTTAGCCTGCCGATGGTTGATAGATGCCTGGAATGTCATGGATGACTCATGAGCAGGCTGACTTCCTGAAAAGTAAGGTGGATGGCTTTTGCCTCAGTCAGCTGCAAGGGGAAGTGGCCGTATACTGTACTAACACCTACTGAGAGTGGTTTGAAAAATGGCCAGAAGCAGCAGTACATTTCAAAGATGATGCTGGTATTGCACTCACAAACAATCAATTGACAAACAACCAGATGAAGCAGCTGGGTGTGTACATCAAACAATGGCACTCTGTATGTGTCATATTTCATTTTCATTTTGGTTCAGCTAATCATAATTGTAATAGCAAATATGTTCTTATTTGTACCATGTGTCCATGGCTGCTCATGGTGAGGAGTTCATACATCACATGGAGGTGGAGGCAAAGATTGAGTGTGCTCATCGTGCGGATAAGGTGAAAGCTGATCTCGAGGCTATCCACACACCTACTGAGTCTCTGAAAGCACAGTAAGTACTTTTTCATGTGGTAAATGTTGAATCAGATGCTGAAACATGTTGAAGATGTCTTGAAGGCCTTGGTGGATTGGTTGGGCAATTATTAGATGCTATTCATGAGACAACTGGATGGCATGGAAGTGTCTACCTTGGGGGACCTGATCCTTGCGTGAATGGGGAGGTTCACGTCTTCAGGTATGTGCACATAGATACTTTCTGGGCTTTGTTCTAATCTAATATGGCACAGTTTCCATCATGGAAAGGGCTTTTCTGGTTTCAATTTTCACGAGATGCTGCCCGATCACCACAGTCGCATTGTTGAGCCATTCACTGCCTTTTTGAAAGGTACATTCAGTAAGTAAATATTCTTCTGCCTCAGACATTGATACTGATAGTGCTACAGCTATTGATACCTCCTACCATTCAATGGACTCAAGCATGACTCTGCCTGTGGGAGAATCACTGGTCAATGAGACTTTGGCCAGCATTGGCCCTGATATCACAGTTGTCAACACCTCCCATCCTTTGACAAACTCAACTGTACAGTGGCTCAAAAAACTGTCCGCATGTTTTGACATTTTTCACTATCTATGATATTGTGTGAGAATGAACAAATGGCTCAAGGACATGCTTATACCACATTGTAGTATGGCTTCAGGGCTTTCATTTGAGCCCTACACCGTGGGAATCGGTGGAGATATGGTGGAGATACAAGGCTCACAAAATGGTGACTCATGCAGACAGTTTTTTGACTCAAGTATTTTACAATAATAACCAGGTATTCTAGTATTTTGTATGACCTCCCTTGGCTTTAATTACTGCCTCTATCCTTCTAGGCATACTCTCAATTAATTTCTGGCAATCCTCAGCTGTGATCTTCCCCCATTCCACTGCTACTCTCTCCCACAGCTCCTATACTCCTTTAGGGGGGTTTTCATAGGCTTGAAGCTTTTTCTTGAGTGTTCCCCAGAGATGTTCAATGATATTGACATCAGGAGACTGTGCTGGCCAGTCAAGAACATTGATGTTATGTTCTTCAAACCATTCCTTAGCTCTTCTGGATGTGTGCTTGGGATCATTATCATTATCCTGTTGGAAAATGATATCTTCTTCATCAATCCCTGATTCTGCCAAGCTAGGCAGCAAGTGGTCATTTAAAATGTCCACATACTGCTCAGCATTCATCTTCCCCTCAACCTCAGCAAGCATTCCCACACCATTCCATCCCATACAGCCCCATACCATTAAAGAACCTCCTCCAAACTTGACAGTCCCATTAACCTCTCTGTCTGTTAGGCCATCTCCCTTCTTTTTCCATACATATACCTTCCCATCTGACCCAATCCTATTGATTTTGGTCTCATCTGACCATATAACATGCTTCCAGTCCTCTACAGTCCAGTATTAATGAGCTAAGGCAAAGGCTAGTCTTCTCTGCCTATGTTTGATGGAGAGAAGAGGCTTTTTCTTCTTTGTTACTGCCTTGAGAACATTCCTCACAGTTTGTGAAGAGACAGGGGGTAGTGATGGTGGAATTGATATAATGGGTGGCTTGGACAGCATTATCAGCCTTTCCTGTAGTGATATGTTGGATAATAGCCCTTTTGTCAGTAGAGGTAAGCTTGGATGGACATCCTCCACAAGAGTTTTCCTTGTCTGGGTGGCTTTCTTTGATAAACTTTGCCACAGTGGACTTGCATACTCCAGTTCTAGAGGAAATTTGGCAAGCAGAGAGGCCAGCATAAGACAGAGAGAGGATATTATCTCTTTGAGCAGAGGAGATGGCTTTCATGGTGATTATGACTATGATACAGTGGCTCAAAAAACTGTCCGCATGTTTTGACATTTTTTACTATTTACAATATTGTGTGAGAATACATAAAGACCTCAGTGACATGCTAATACCATATTGTAGTGCTGCTTCAGGGCTTTGGATTGAGCACCACATCATGAGAATCAGAGGAGATATGGTGGAGATACAAGGCTTACAAAATCATGACTCATGTGGACAGTTTTTTGAGCACATATTAAAACTATATAAATCATCATTTATGACACCATAACAATCATGCCACCATTAAATAAATTATAAAGTGGTGTCATTATGTCATTTTAAAACCATATCTAACTATACAAACCAAAAATTTCCATATGTCATGGTTATATTCACCATGAAAGCCACCCCCCCTGCTCAAAGGGATAATATCCTCTCTCTTTCCTATTCTGGCCTCTCTGCTTGTCAAATTTCCTCTAGAACTGGAGTATCCAAGTCCACTGTGGCCAAGTTCATCAAAGAAAGTCACACAGACAAGGAAACTTCTGTGAAGGGCATCCATCCAAGCTTACCTCTACTGATAGGAGGGCTATTATTCAACATATCACTACAGGAAAGGCTGATAATGCTGTCCAGGTCACCTATTACATCAATTCCACCATCACATTCCCTGTCTCTTCACACACTGTGAGAAACATCTCAAGACAGCTCATCTCAGGTCAGTAACAAGGAAGAAAAGGCTTTCCTCTCTATCACACACATATGCAGAGAGGACTAGCACCCTTCTTTTTTCACATATATACCTTGCCATCTGACCCAATCCTATTATTGTGGTCTTATATGATCATATAACATTCTTCCAGTCCATGTAATCCAATTCTGATGGGCTAAGGCAAAGGTTAGTCATCTCTGTTATATGTGATAGAGAGGAAAGCCTTTTCTTCCTTGTTACTGACCTGAGATGAGCTGTCTTGAGAATGTTTCTCACAGTGTGTGAAGAGACAGGGAATGTGATGGTGGAATTGATGTAATAGGTGACCTGGACAGCATTATCAGCCTTCCTGTAGTGATATGTTGAATAATAGCCCTCCTATCAGTAGAGGTAAGCTTGGATGGATGCCCTCACAGAAGTTTTCCTTGTCTGTGTGACTTTCTTTGATGAACTTGGCCACAGTGGACTTGGATACTCCAGTTCTAGAGGAAAATTTGACAAGCAGAGAGGCCAGAATAGGAAAGAGAGAGGATATTATCCCTTTGAGCAGGGGGGGTGGCTTCATGGTGATATAACCATGACATATGGAATTTTTGTTTGTATATTAGATATGGTTTTAAAATGACATAATACACCACTTTATAATTTATTTAATGGTGGCATGATTGTTATGGTGTCATAAATGATGATTTATATAGTTTTAATATGTGCTCAAAAAACTGTCCCACATGAGTCATGATTTTGTAAGCCTTGTATCTCCACCATATCTCCTCTGATTCTCATGATGTGGTGCTCAATCCAAAGCCCTGAAGCAGCACTACAATATGGTATTAGCATGTCACTGAGGTCTTTATGTATTCTCACACAATATTGTAAATAGTAAAAAATGTCAAAACATGCGGACAGTTTTTTGAGCCACTGTATTGGCTGTGAGCATGCATGGAGCATTGCTCCTTACAGGAGTAGCTAATCATCCATTTTATTTGCTTGCTCATGTTGACAGCTGAGATAGGCAATGAGTAGAGTCATGGTATGGAGCCTCACATCTGGTGAAATGATTCAAGAAATTGTTTCACCAGTGGCAGGATATATTAGTGCAATCACTTGGATTGATGTTGATGATCGTGGAGAGACGACCTTTGCGTTTGGGGCATCGGATGGCAACATCCAAATCTATGAAAGAATCGATGATGTAAGTGTGATGGTAGTAGCACCTCTAGGTAACTGATAATGTTCAGTCCTGTTAGGCACTTTCAAATTTTGCAGTACTACCACTCGGTCACTCAGGTCTGGTAGAGTTGCTTGCTTGGGATCCTGTGCATCATCGACTGGCGAGTGCCAGTGATGGTCGACCCCACATTTGGAACTTCACACCAGACAGTGTGTTACCAAATCATAGTACTTGTGTTGCATTGACTTTGTATTTAGAAAATCTTGTTTCTATCACCTCAAAGCTCGACAAGCAGCCATATGTGGCGCACACAGTACACTTCTATGACAATGGTGCTTCAATACTAGTATCATATCTTGAAAGCGGTGAAATGTATGTGTACCATAAAAATTGTGATTTTGCTCTGACTGTGAGTCTAGTTTCTGTTATTCCATCGAACCCTGAGATTTAAAGTGGCACAAGAAAGTCCAGGGAAGGATGTGAGTCGGTGCATACTCTGTGCATACAATTATTGATTCTTAAGCTGCAAGTGGGAATACCACCCTTAAGGGCAATTTCCTCCTTGTAAGCAATCTTAAAGACAGGGTTGACAAATACTCTGTGCCTAGCCTTCAATGTGTCCAGTCTTACAGCCATGTGATCCTGTGCAATGTGTCTTTGCAATCTCTGTTGCTTGACAAGCCA